TTGATTGAAATTATTTTTTTTGATTGAAGATGCTTTTTGTTTGATTGAATAATAAAAACACAAATTTACCTCCATATGTCTCAGCCCATGATGGCAAATGAAGTGTACTTCTTTTATTGTGTTGTATTGCTTCTAATCTAATTTTGTTCATTTGGATCGATTTTCATATACACCGGGGTAAGGGCCAGAATAAAGCTGAAGGCTAAACGTCCAAATTCACAGCCACTTTCTTCTAGTCGTTACGTTCAACAAAGGATCCGGCTCATGGTTACCAGGTAAGCCAGGTCCTTTAGAGGATGCAGCCCCTGAATTTGGAAACAGTTTCATAAAACTCTGTGCAGTGCGTCATGAGATATTTTGCTAATAGACAGGCATTACCTTTAGATTACCATTACATTTACCTTGTGGTAGCAGAAAAGAACAATGAAACAAGAAAACCTAAAATGTTATTTGTTTGTTTTTTATTCAAATTTAAATACAAATCCAGAAAATAGACCAAGAAAAAAAATAGGTAAATGTTTGGTCTCGAACACGAGCTCATTTCTGTACGAAAAGGTACAGACAAAAAGTCTTTAGAAAACATTTTAAAAATAAGTACTGTTATGATATGTAATTTATCCCCACGGTTACATAAAGATATGAAGAGATGAAATCATCATCACTTCCTCACAATACATACAAAACACACCACATCTCATTAAGGAGTACCATATGTATCGTTTTAAACATAATAGCAGCCATTAAGTTAGAGCTCCACTAAATCTTTGGCTAGTATGGCAAGACACGGGCTGGGAGCAGATATTTCCTGACATGAAAGCGGGTCAGTGAATGCAACAGGCAAAGCCGATTGGACCGAAGGCACTTAAAGACACGGAGAAACAACAATGAGTTTAACACAAAGAGAAGAAAAATAACAGCTTACCTCCATTTAAATACGAAGGATTGTCCTTGTAAATGAGTGAAGTCATTTTCACGAATCTTTTACGTAAACCAAAAAAAAAAACCCCCCACAATCTTCCTCAAACAGATTTGAATTTTCCCTTCTTCTTTCTTTAAATCCACACATTTCTATCCTTCAGAGCTGCATGACCTTATAAGAGGGCAAACTCTGATCAATGGATGAAAATTTCCAGAACAGATAAAACCTGATGAGGCTGGTGATGATTCCAGGCGTGTTCGGAACCTGAAACGAACATTTGAAAACGTTACGGTGCGGTTCAAGCCAACGCGGGGGACGGGAGTGACGTTAGCAGCGTTTTACCGTGATGTAGTAGTCGTTGAGCTGGAGGCCGTACAGCACCCAGGAGGTTGCAGTGAAGAAGGTGGCGACAGTCAGAGGGAAGGACAAACGCTGCACGTTACCACTGCGAATGATCTCTGCCTGCAAGGGACGAGAGGAGGGAGGCAGCGCGCCGTCAGCTAACAGAGGTTTGAATCTTCAAGATGTGGAACATGAAAGACGTTTGTTTTTAAAAAGCCCTCGGAGCGTTTCAGATCTGTTTTTCTCTCTCAACTGTTCAAACAAACAATGTTAGGTGAACTTTGGGTATAAAGATGCAGTTCGACTGTTACAGGGAAGTTTCACTGAGCTGCCTGTGGAAACTCTAACGGTACGTTCACACCGAACACGTTTTGAGTGGCAGGAGTGGCCGATTTACATGCAAAGTCTATGAGGACGCGCCTCTAGGGGTCGTGCGTCGCGTCACGTACGTTTTGGGCGGCGCACAAGGAAGGCGGAAGGGGCGCAGAGCGTTTTCCACGCATGCGGTACTGCAGAAGCCGCCGGCGCCCGAGCCGCCGCCACAGTTCAAAAATCTGAACTTTTCGCCGCTCGACGCGTCTCCCACTGAAAACCGAAACAGACAGACTGGAGATCTTTACCTGAAGTCGACTGTGTGCAGTTGGATTTTCTGGCAGAATATATCAGCACCGATGTGGATCAGCTGCTCGGGACCAAAAAAAAAAAAGTCTGTCAGCTGGCAGCTTCTGGAGTGACGAAACTAACCAAACAAATCGCATCTAAATCATCTGGTGAATTAATTACCTGGTGTGTGCAACATTCGCTTGCTCTTTAGTAAATAAATCAAAGCCATTTTCTTTTATTTTATCTTTATTCACCCGCCGAGGACACGCTCCTCTCACACCTCGCTGCTGCCGCTGTTTGTTCTGGTCTGAACACTAGTGCGTTCTTCGGTCTGAAAATAGTGCGTCCAACGAGAGACGTTTTGCGCTTTTTGGATGCTCAAAACGCGTTCGGTGTGAATGTAGCATAATCCTCCCTGAACCGCTCACTCTCAGTGTCAAAAAGAAACTGTTTGGCCTTCTGACATTGTTGGTTGAAACAATGACAACAATTACACAGTGGAGCCATGTGGTCTTCTCACCTTAAAAACAAAATAAACACAAATATATTGTGTTGTTCTGCGAAAAGGAAATGAACACGAGCTTACAAAAACCATAAAGTACAGGTGGAAATCCAGGGGAGTCGAGTGGATCAGACCCAACAAAAACTGGTTCAATGGAGACTGTGTCCCCATAAGACATCTGAGGAAACTATGCTTTTAGGTAACATCCATCCATCCATCCATCCATCCATCCATCCATCCGTCAGTCCATCCATCCATCAGTCCATCCATCCATCCATCCATCCGTCAGTCCATCCATCCATCAGTCTGTTCATCCATCCATTCATCCATCAGCCCATTCATCCATCCATCAGTCCATTCATCCATCCATCCATCCATCAGTCCATTCATCTATCATCCATCCATTCATCAGTCCATTTGTCCATCTATCCATCATCCATCAGTCCATTCATCCATCCATCAGTCCATTTGTCCATCCATCCATCAGTCCATTCATCCATCCGTCCATCCATCCATCATCCATCAGTCCATTCATCCATCCGTCCATCCATCCATCATCCATCAGTCCATTCATCCATCCGTCCATCCATCCATCATCCATCAGTCCATTCATCCATCCATCCATCATTCATCAGTCCATTCATCCATCCATCCATCAGTCCATCCATCCATCATCCATCCATCAGTCCATTCATCCATCCATCAGTCCATTTGTCCACCTATCCATCATCCATCCATCCATGTCAGTCTATTTGTCCATCCATCAGTCCATTTGTCATCTATCCATCAGTCCATTTGTCCATCCATCTATCCATCCATTCATTTATCCATCCATTCATTTATCCATCCATCCATCCATCAGTCCATTCATCCATCCATCAGTCCATTTGTCCACCTATCCATCATCCATCCATCCATGTCAGTCTATTTGTCCATCCATCAGTCCATTTGTCATCTATCCATCAGTCCATCCATCTATCCATCCATCCATTTATCCATCCGTTCACTTATCCATCCATCCATCCATCCATCCATCCATCCATCCATCCATCCATCCATCCATCATCTTCTGCTTGTTCTGGGATCAGGTCTCTGGGCAGCAGATTGATCAGGGAGGTCCAGACCTCTCTTTCCACTTCCAGCTCTTCTGGAAGGACTCCAAGGAGTTCCCAGGTCAGACCAGTAGACTCTGTCTCAATTCAGGGGTTGTAGTTCATGTAGACCACACCCTCTATAGCCCAGGTCGGCTGCATCTAACGGCTGTGAAGTGAGACGGTCTACTCTTCAGGAGCATGTTATGGTCGCTGCTGGAGCCATAAATAAGAATTTATAGGTTTATACTTTGTATACTGACATAACTGACAGGAGGAGCAGCTAAAATGTAATAAAATCAGGGCATTTTTTAAATGAAATTACTGCAAAGTTAAGAAAAAATAAATTTAACAGGACAGAACCGCATCGTGCAAACTTCACATTACTGTAAAGCTTGTAACCGAGGGGACGAGGAACAAACAGAATCTGAGAATAACAGGAAGAATGAAGAATAAATGGACGTCAGGAAGCTGAGCGGAGGTCAGTTCAGACGGACAGAAGGTGACAAACAGGAAGGAGGACTGAATCACGAGATGATACGGAGCCACGGAAAAGGAAACCCAGCAAACATGAGATTCCTTCACTGGAGCTCGTGTGCACAGAGGTACTGATAACTGTTGCTGCCTTTTCTTTTTTAATCTGTTGTTTTACAAACTAAGTGTCAAATGTTCACATCAACTAATGTGTGTTTCTGTGAAAAGGTTTTAATTCTCCTAAACAGTGTGTAAACCAAGTAGGGGTCTCTGCAGAACATGTTGTCCTGTGGGCGGAGACGTCCCAAATCGTCATTGGCCGAGGTCTTAATGTGGGCGGAGATGTCCCTGCTCGTGATTGGCGGAGGTCTTGATGTGGGCGGAGATGTCCCTGCTCGTGATTGGCGGAGGTCTTGATGTGGGCGGAGATGGCCCAAGAGATGTGATTGGTCGGATTAACGGTGGGGTATTAGGTTGGAGGGAGCGGGGAGTAGCTTGGTCGAGTAGGGCAGGAACTAACATGTTTTTTGGGGTTTTTTTTAGGTTAATTTTTTTAGTCATAACTTGAGAAAGGAAAGTGCTAGCTGTACGAAATTTGAACGTCGTACATGTGAAAGGATGTGTAACAATATGGTTCAGTTAAAACATCCCCAACCAGCCTGTAAAAAGATAGCTAAAAATCAATATTTTTTTTACAGGCTGGTTAGGGATGTTTTAACCGAGCCATATTGTTACACATCCTTTCACATGTAAGACGTTCGAATTGCGTGCAGCTAGCACTTTCCTTTCTCAAGTTATGACTAAAATTAATCTAAAAAAATTTACTTCCTGCCCGACTCGACCAGACTACTACCCGCTGCCTCCAGGCTCGCTCTAACCCCACCATCAATCAGACCAATCACGTCTCTTGGGCCATCTCCGCCCACACCAAAATTTCCGCCAATCACGAATAGGGCCGACTCCGCCCACAGGACAAAACCTACTGCAGAGACCCCTTACTCGTATAAATTGATCCTATTTTAAACAAAAATCAGCTACATTGTGTCTTTAAAACAACAACTCTCAGATATCAGCATAGCCTGGTAAAAACCAGACCCTGTCCTTCACTTTGTTTCATACGAGGGTCTGGACTCTCGGCTATAGAGAAGTGATTCTTGCAGGAGGCGTGGCCTCTGCTGAAGTTTAAAATGATTGGATCGGTTGGCTGCGACGTATGTCGCTGTGAAAGAGGCTAAGCTAAGAAGCTAACCGGAAATCGAGTGTGCTGTAAACAACCCTACTGAGAGGAGAAAAGTACCGAGCCGAACGAGACGACTGTAAATGAGAGCTGCTGCTTTGTCAGACAAATTTATTTTAATTTGAAGTCTTATCAACACAGACTGGCTTCATTCACTTCCTCCACTGCCGTATGCTAAAGTAACTAGCAGACACTGCGCAGAAAATTTACATTGTTCAAAACTCCACCTTCTGTTTGCTGATTGGCCCAGGTAAAATAAACTACAAGCAGACACTGTGCAGATAATCAACGTTCTGCTCTCTGATTGGCCAGGATGAAATGCTCCTGAAGAAATCCTTGTCTTTGGGAGAAGTCCCAGACGGAGCAGAGAAGGAAACTAGAATTGAGCGGAGCTGCGTAGAAAGACAAGGACCAGGCTATCAGCATGAAGTGTTTCATTACTTCATAATGTAAAATAAAATCCTATTTCACCGCAGTAATAAACAAAACAGCTCTTTTGTTCATATTTTCCCTTTTTTAGTTTTGAATGTTAGTAAGAAGTTTATATTGAATTTTGTTGAGGAAATGTACGACATCGAAGCTGAACTTTCACTTCCAATCAGCTCTTGTTTTTGTGCTGTTCACTCTGATAAACTCCCTGTAGTGGTAAGATTAAACTGTAGTTTTTTATTTCATATTTTGCCAATAATTTCTCACTTTTGGAGTCTGTAAAAAATCTACTATTCATGCGTGTATGTCTGGGTTTAGAGCAGGGATGGACACGCCTGGTCCAGGACAGCTGCGATCCTCTGCCCCAACACACCTGATTCAGTGACTGAACTTCCTCTTCAAGTTCTGCTAATCACACCATTCATGCAAATCAGGTGTGTTGGAGAAAAACATGTAAAACCAGCAGGACAGCAGCTCTCATGGACCAGAGTTGGACACCACCTGGTCCAGGGCTACGTCCACACTGCAGAAAAAAATGACACAAATCTGACTTTTTAGATAATTTCAGGATTTCTTTAAGCTGTGGTACTTTACAGTTATTAGTCTGTTGAGGCTATTTTGCACTGAAAATAGGAAAATTCTGATTCCTAATGCCTGACAGTCTACTGTCTCTAAAACAAAACATATCTCTTTTTATTCTTGCACAATTCTTTATATTATATTTTTTTAGTATTAGTTGTATTATTGCTAGTTACTGGTAATTTTGTTTTTTGTGTGCTGTAACTAAGGTGTGAACCTCTGTACTGATGCTGCTGTCACACCTGAATTTCCCCTCGGCAGGACAATAAATTCTATTCTATTCTACTCTATTCTATTCTATTCTATTCTATTCTATTCTATTCTATTCTATTCTATTCTATTCTATTCTATTCCAGAGGTCTGGGTATACAGATTTTAGCTTGGAACTCTTCAAGTCTTCAGCTGCAGAACAGAAATCCAGTCGCTTCATCTTATTATAACTTTCCAGATTTGTGAAGTCCTGGACGACTGACTTTAAAGCAACATGAGATGCTAACAGTGGCGTGCCAACATGTAGGATTGTAGAAGTTCTGCACCTGAGAAGGCTGGAAGTGGTCAGATCAAATGGAAACATTGGACAAATCAAGCATAGCTGATAACAAATTAGTCGTTCTTATTGATGCTAACATTGTAGCATCCAGATTTACTTGTGTAAACACAGCGTGTGACTTTGTGTTCTTCTGCACATGCAGGTCACTCATGGGCTGTGTTCTGTTCATGTTGAAGCCTGACACTTTTAAATTATAAGGTGAACGACCACACTAAAAATTAAATAAATCTGGATTGAGCATGAAGATCTGCAGTGTGAACGTAGCCTTGGAGCTTTTATCTGACCGAATAACGTAAAAAATATGTTTCAATAAGACACAGCTTTCTGTGGAAAAGTCCAAAGTGTGTGTTTGTTTCACATACCAGGTCAAAGAGTGGCGACAGGTACATGCTGATGGTGATGACGCTGCAGGTGAGACCCAGCTGGCTGAGCCGGGCCCTCTCCTCGGTGAGAAACGTAGAGAAGTATAACCAGCCGCACATCAACACGGCTCCTGCAGCCAGAATCTGGATCAGCACCAGCCTCTGGAACAAACAACAACAACAGGAAGAAGAAAATAAAAGCTACAGGATCAGGTGAGTTACCTGCAGGTCATCACTCTGCTCCAGGTGTACCTTGTGCTTGGTGTAGAAGAAGTACATGATGATGTAGAGGAGCTGCAGAAAAGCTCCAATGATGTTGACAGACATGATTGTCTTATCCCACTTCAGGATCCCATAGGACAACCACCCTATGTTACTGTGGGACAGGGAGGATAATCAGATGTGCTGACCATAAAGCCAACAGGCTGCTGAATGATTCAAAATAAAATGATAAAACTTACTTTAGACACGTGGTCAGGAAGGGGAGAAACTGGATGTTTTCTGTACTTTTGGATTCTCGCATTTTCTTTAGGTCGGTTCTAGAAACACAGTTAAAAACATTAATACAACAGACACAACTTAAATTAACTTATTTAACTATTTTCTTCAGAAAAATTTAGTACAATAAACGAAATTACAAACTTACAGTCCAGTCGAGAACATCCCGACCGTGAACACAATGCAGGCCCATGACAGCAGCTGTAGTAAATCCATAAAGCGCAGGAAAAATCCAGTTCACCTTCCGCGTTTATATTAAGCCTTTTTTCTACTTTTAAACACGACTAAAGACAGAAGAACGATGCAAAACAACTACAAAAAAAAAAAAACTCTCTGGATTTCCGTGTTTGCAATCAGTGTGCTTAACATCCCTGTCCTCTGATTGGCTACAACACAAAGGAGGCGGGACGTGTTTGACCAATGGTATGCTGAGACGATGCAAAACGTAATCATTACGTCAAAAATTAAAGGGCCAGTCAGCATTACTGCCATAAAACGAGCTGATTGAGGAGTGATATTTGCTCTGCTTCTAGTTCTTCTTTATGTTCATAGAAAAATAATCAGTCAGAGAAAAGACCAGACCTTTTAATAGAAAGTCAACAAATAATTTATAGGATTCAACCACTGGGTTCAGTGGTTAACTTTACATGGATACCATTACATGTAGGAATAAAGGGAAATGATTTGGCAGATAAGCAGTGGCGTCACTAGGCCTACTTTAGCGGGGCTGGAGCCCCCCTAAAATATTTTAAAGCCCCCCCTAAATTATTTTGGTAAAAAAATTATTTTATTTTATTTTTACAAAAATTCAATATGATGTGGTCAGAATAAATAACCATTTAATATTTCATACTTAACTAAAATATATGATCATAAATCTGTCAGTTTCCCTTTAATTTATAGTGTAATACTCCCCCACCACATAAAATCCAGTCCACGTTTTTCCTGCAACATTAATAGCAGCATGCTAGCAAGTTTACTCTCAGAGCCAGCTAAGTGCAGCATGAATGCTCAGTGAAAAGAGGATATACGAAAGTTTTTCAAGAAAGTAAGTATTATTTAGTAAAGTAGTGTCAGTATTCACAGATGTATCTAAAATAGTTTTAATGTTCAGTTTGGGGGTATTTTTGATATTGGTATGAATTGATATTAAAATTGATGTTACAATATTATTTGGCCTTGAATGGTTTAAAAATAACTATGGAAAAAATTAATAATCTGAAATTGTAGGTATTGTTCTCTAAATAAATGTTACTGAAATGATACTTT